GGGGGGGGGCGGTGGCGAGCGGAGCCGGCCCGCGGGGACGCCTAAACATAATGTGCGTGTTCCCTAGGTGCCTAGGCAGCTCCAGAGTGCAGCCTGAGGGGTCTGTGGCAGCGTGGGTTTGTATTCGCTCGCGGCGGGCCGGAGCGCGCTGGGCTTCCTGGCGGGAGGAGGCCGCAGCGTGGCGGTGCAGGCACCGGGGCTGCACGCAGTGATGGCTCGAACTGGTCTGCTTCTTTGTAGGGATTTAAAGCAAACCTCTCTCTTCTGAGGCGGCCTGGGGAGAAGACCTATACTCAGCGTTGCCGCTTGTTTGTCGGGAATTTGCCTGCTGATATAACAGACGAAGACTTTAAAAGACTGTTCGCCAAATATGGGGAGCCGGGAGAGGTTTTTATCAACAAGGGGAAAGGCTTTGGATTCATTAAATTGGTAGGCTTTTGTACTGTACGTTCATTAGTTTAATTCTCGCGGAATAGTCATACACGGCATGATTTCCTAAAACTGGATCTTAAACTTTCTTCAGGAATCTAGAGCCCTTGCAGAAATTGCGAAGGCAGAACTGGATGATACCCCCATGAGGGGTCGACAGCTTCGTGTTCGGTTTGCCACACATGCTGCTGCTCTTTCAGTGCGTAATCTTTCACCTTATGTGTCCAACGAGTTACTGGAGGAAGCTTTTTCCCAGTTTGGTCCAGTGGAAAGAGCTGTTGTGATTGTAGATGATCGAGGTAGATCAACAGGAAAAGGCATTGTTGAGTTTGCATCAAAGCCAGCTGCAAGAAAAGCATTTGAACGGTGTACCGAAGGAGTGTTTTTGTTGACAACGTAAGTATTTTGCAGTTTAGGATTTTTAGTTTGAAGCTGAATAAAATTGTCAGCTTGTACTTTTTTCAGAATGCTAATTATGGGAAAGTAAAACGAGTATTTTTTTATTCAGCACTCCTAGGCCAGTTATTGTGGAACCATTGGAACAACTGGATGATGAAGATGGTCTTCCAGAAAAGCTTGCTCAGAAGAATCCAATGTATCAAAAGTAGGCACTCTCTTTTGGTATAAAGAATATATAAATGATGTACATAGTATTGTACCTGACTAGGAAGGTGGTGTGAGTAAGTTTACAGAAACAGGCTTTGAATTTTGAGTGGTACTTTCAGTTCTTGTTTTTTTTGGTGGTAGTTTCTTTTTAGATAATGTAACGTACTGATTTGTTCTGTATATTCACCCAGCATCACACAAGCGAGTTTCTACATTGTATCACAAAGAAACAGTAAAGACCAAATAGCAGCCCAGTAACATGTTTTTTGGTATATGAGAAAAAATTTGAAAATTGGACTTTGTTGTGTTGAGAGCTGTCGTTTCTCTTGAAGCATATCTCGTGTTGATGATGCCATAAGGAATTTATGAACACGTTTGTGGTATGAACCGAGAAATTACGTAAAATTTTAACTCACTCCATGACTAATAAAAGCTACTTGCCTATGGATTTGCCTTATGAAGCTGACCACAAGGCATAAAAGCGTAGATAAGAGTCTATAGGAGTCTTCTAGCCCATTTGTTACAGAAATGTTGTATTTTTCCAAATCGCAAAAGGGAGTGCAGGAGTGGATATCCAGTCAGTCTTGTTTGTATGAGAAAGTATTCAAAATGACTGACTTTGATCAAAAACTATAAAGTGTCTTTTAAAGATGGTGTAGATTAGTATAGTGTTCCTAAAACGTTAACATATTTTATATTGCTAATGTATGGAAAGCTTTTGAACTTTTCTAGTTTTATTCCATTAATTACTGAATTTTAGTTTCCAGTTCCTTGATATGACAGCGTAAGCTGTTGGCCTTTAGGCATTTTGAAAACTAATTAAAGATTATTACTCGCCTTTGACAAGTAGTGCTTTGGGTAAGTTGGCACCGAAAAAAATCCCTCTCTCCATATGCAGTTGTTTTGAGCAGCTATACCTACTCGGGCAAAGTCCTGTCTTGTTTGAGGATTTTGCGCCTGGCAGTTGCCAGCAGTGGAGTAAAGAAGAAGTTAAGAACAAGATAAACTTGATATAGAACTGTAAGTGGGAAGACTTGCTTGGATGTGAAGTGCAGGAGTCCTCATATTTGTTATGGTAGTTGTAGAATTTTTTTTTAATATTACATGTTGCTATTTAAGCATGTAGAATGCTGTACTGTTACCAGCATTCTTTTACAGCAAGTTGTGAGGTAGTATTTTCAGGGCTCCTTTGATGTTCCCTGATAATTCTACTATTCTGCTTGTGGTCTTGTATTGGCCTTCAGTTTCCAGGTTTACCCAGTCAGAGCATCTTCCTTTCTGCAGGGAAAGAGAGACTCCTCCCCGTTTTGCTCAGCCTGGCAGTTTTGAATTTGAATATTCCCAAAGGTGGAAATCTTTAGATGAAATGGAAAAACAGCAGAGAGAGCAAGTGGCAAAAAACATGAAAGATGCCAAGGACAAACTTGAAAGCGAAATGGAAGATGCTTATCATGAGCATCAGGCAAACCTCTTGCGTCAAGGTAATTGGCTCTGAATTCTGTGTCATTTTTTGCTTTAAATGCTAGTTAAATGCATGGCTGTTTTAACAAATAAATTCATGCTTCCTACTGCTACCTTGAGAACTTCAGGCTTGAAAAAGAGCAACTGGTAGCTTTTTTATTTAAATGCAATGTTGTTAAGAATAGTGACACTCAGAAGGTCACTGTCTGCCATACTGCAGATGAGGGTGATTAATTCAAATCTGAGTTTAAATCTGATACGAGTTTGTGAAACGGCCGCTGACAAGCTTAATTTCTGCAGACCTTATGAGGCGTCAGGAAGAATTGAGACGTATGGAAGAACTCCATAATCAGGAAATGCAGAAACGCAAGGAAATTCAGCTGAGGTTGGTTTGGCTTTCATGGGATTTTTATCAGTGTTACATTTAGGTTTTTTTAAATGACTTACGTATGAAAGCTTTTATTTTTCAAGAAACACCATTGCTGCTTCAGTTTGTGTATGAGAAATTGAACTGCAGTGTAAGTTTTTCCTCAGAATATTTGAGCATCACAGAGTATCTTTTGCTTTTAAAATTGCGTGTGCAAGTGATGTTGATAAGTGTTGAGCATGTTACACTCCCGGGGTTTAACAGTTTGCTTTGGGATGATCAGGCAGGAGGAGGAGCGTCGCAGGCGGGAAGAGGAAATGATGATACGTCAACGGGAGATGGAAGAACAAATGAGAAGACAGAGGGAAGAGAATTATAGTAGAATGGGTTACATGGATCCAGTAAGTGAAATATGATGTTTTTTGGATACATTACCATGTCCAGAAATTTTTTGGATGTATTTTCAAGATTGATGTGTTTTGCTTCCTTTAGGTTAGATAATGTGATGTCTTTGTGTAGGTGAAATGGTAGTAGTTGGCTGTACGTGTGCTTTTATCTCCTGAAAGGTGTGGATTTCAGTAGTTGGTTATCCCTGCTAAAAGTTGTTTCTTCTATGCAGAGGGAGAGAGACATGAGAATGGGTGGTGCCACCACAATGAACATGGGAGGTAAAGAATTTTTAATTAATTACTTCATGTGGTTAACTTAAAAATTGCCAGAATATGATTATATACTTCTCTTTCTTAGATCCCTATGCTTCTGCAGCCCAGAAATTTCCACCTCTCGGAGGTGGTGGCGGCATAGGTTATGAAGCTAATCCAGGAGTTGGCCAAGCAGCCATGAGTGGTTCTATGATGGGAAGTGACATGGTAATGTATCCTGTGGTGGCTTTAGTTTAGCACAAGGGAAATGTTGTGGATGGGAGTTGAGTTCTCTACCAGTGTTCGGATGGTTGTGTGAATTTCACTGTTAACTGCTGACTTCTCTTGTCAGGTATTTAATGTGAAGAGTAGCGTGGCAGTATGTAGTACTAGATTAGTTCTTAACCGTTATGGTAGCTTACACAGTTGGAAATTGTTGTAAGTGACCTCAAATGTGCTGTTAAGCATATTTGCAATTAACTCTGACTTTATTGGACTTTGGAAATTCTGCGTCACTATTAGGCTTGGAAGGATTTTTTATAAACCGTAGAGGATCACAAATTTCATAATTAAAATACACAATGCAGTAGCTTTTCAGTAATTTGACATTCTGTGTTGATGGACAAGAGAGATTTTTGTTCTCCTTTCCAATGTGTAACATTTGCGTTTCTTTTCGCCCTTCCAAGCCTAGTTAGGATTGATGCATGTTGGTATGGGTATGCTGTTAATTCAAAAATCTGCGCTCACGTCTATTTAAGCAGCAGATTAATTTAAGTAATCAATGGTAAACAGCACATCACTTATTCTGTATGCTGATGTTTGCTATACAAGAGCAGAAGTGCTGGTTTTTAGCTTAGGTTCCAGCGATCCTTGACTGTAGCCATTTTGTGGTTCCTGTCTCACAAAGGAATGATAGCCCGTTCTTGTTTTCCTGTGTTGGGCATGACTATGTAGGTAGAGTTTGTTAAAGCTATGGCATATCTCATGTTCTGAGGTATGTTTCCAAACTACTATTTTTGGCACACTATATGTGTGAACGGGCTTTGAGCCTGCTTGGTGTTATCACACTGAAGCATATGGATGTAGATTAAAGAAATGCTTAATGGCTAGGATGGAAATCTTATGTTGACTTAGGTGGCGATATTAGTGTGCTTTCACCCTCCTGAAAGGGTGTACACTCTGTAGCACAAGCTGAACTAAATGATTTTTGGGTGGGTTTAGGCCTCTGGCTTAACGTGGCGAGCTACCATAGTAGCTTTGTCAGGTATCTTATGGGTTTTTTTGGGAACCATATCTTTGGAATGATAACTTTGCAGAGCATCATCGATTCAGTAGACAGTGCCGTTGGCCTTAACGTATCCATATAATCTACTGATAAGACAATTAAGCAGTTCCTAAGTTTCCCGTGAACAGTTAGGCAGTCTGTGGTGAATGCTGTGTACATTTTTCTCCTGAAAACCATGGTTACAGGTGCATGCTGAACTTGTGTAATACTTGAAAACGTGATATGGTCAAAAGGTGTGACAGTATGATGGTTTAACTGCCTTGAGTTTCTTAGGATGGGGATCTCTGCCACACAGTACTGTCACAGTTACTGGGCTGTTATCTTTTAAACAGAATTGGAGATAAGCTTAAGCTGCCACGAGTTAGGCAGAAAGAACCTAGGTAATCTTTGTGAAATTCCTTTCTTGGAAGGATTGAAACTGACTTTCAGAAGTCAAGAACTTGAAGTGTGAATTTTCAGTTGCAGACACTTTTTGTAACAACCAACCTACCATTGTTCTGTTACTTGGTAGTGGAAAACATGCTGGAAATGAAAGTTTAAAGCTGTCTTTGACTTTATAATTTGTCAGTTCTGTAGATTGAACGCTGGTCACACCTGATACAGTAACTGAACGAAGTACATGCAACTAGAGGTACTAGTAAAAAATACCTGAAGTCTCTGCTTTATTGCAGGGTAATTTAGCTTTTACATCTTGGTGTGAAACCTTTCAATGCTGTGAAGTTGTGAATTTTCCAAGAGCTTGTGATGAAGGTGGGGTGGGAAGGGTGATACTGACGGGATGCACACAGCCCTTTGTGCATAGTTCTAACTGGAAACACTGAATAAATTGTAGTTCTTTGAACACGTTTTGCATATTATGCAGCAGCAGTTCCGGAGTACGTGGGATTTTAACAAATGCAAGTCTTTTGATCGAGCAATTGCGTTGGTTAGGTAAATCACTGGTCATTAGCTTTTTTCACAATTTTTTTCTTCTTGCAATCCAGTAGTGCTCACAATCAGTTTTGGTTACTGCCTAAGGCCTCTGCAGTTTAGTCAGCAGACCGTAGTCTTAACCCCATCTTGAAAAGCCCATGGTCTCTATTGCAGCACATGCCATTAACTGGTGAGTAGGCATTCTGTTTACAATGACATTTTATGAATGTCAGCTCATACTTCAGTGAACTGAAGATTCGTTCTCTGGCTAGGCTTATTTGGAAATGACAGTGATGTAATCTAAGCTTTTACTGCACTAAAGGTGAGAAGTTTGCAAGCTATTTGCATTAACTTGGTTGAAAATTGCTAGAGCTCATTTGGAAAAGTTGTTAATTCACATCTGCACTAATGCTTACATTTCTAGCACTGCAGGGAGGATCTGTTCTTTGTAACAGATGTATGAGAATGCATCAAGTGGGAACATACCTCAAGGCATGTATTACAATAAACTAATTTTTAAATTACCCTTTTTTCCTTTCTATGTTCCCGGTACCTGTGGATCGGCTCAATGGTGATTGTATCGACGAACCTTGACTACGGAACCTTCTAAAAATATATACTTAACACACATGGACATCAACTACATATAATGAACTGTTAATTCTGTTCCAATAGCGTCCTGAACGCTTTGGGCAGGGAGGTGCGGGGCCTGTGGGTGGCCAGGGTCCTAGAGGAATGGGGCCTGGAACACCAACAGGATATGGTAGAGGGAGAGAAGAATACGAAGGCCCAAACAAAAAGCCCCGATTTTAGATGTGACCTGTAGTTTCATTCCAGTTTGTTTTTGTCTGTCTTGTTTAGACACCAACTTTTTAATTCTTGCATTTTAGTAAGAAAGCTACGTTTTTATGGATGTTAGAAACTTACTGACCTAATATTTGTAAGTGGTCTGTTTGGGCGAGTACAATTTAATTATGTAATGCAGTGTTTCAAAACAAATTTAGCTGTTTTTTTGATGTATAACGTCCCTAACTTGATGGCAGTGTACCTTGTGCCACTGAATTCCCAAAGTGTACCAACTTTTTTTTACTGTGCTTCAAATAAATAGAAAACTAAATGTAGTAACTCTTCTTGCCATTCGTGGTTAAACATACGAGGCTAAATACCACACCTTCAGCAGTAAACCTGGAGTCTTGAGTTAGAGGTCAAACTAGACCAGGGTGTGGAACTTAGTGAAGAGCCAGATCTCTTCCCATAATGCCTCTAGCTTAAGATTGGGTCAAATAGTAGCCTAACTTTTCTAGTAGGTGCTGATTTTTTGAGCATTAATTGTGCTGCAATAAGGAAGCAAATGGAAATCTTGCAAGTGCTGTAAGATAATTAAAGCTACACTGCAAGCAGTGCAGTATGTAACGAATTTCCTATTTTAGCTACGGATAATGGGTGGTGGGATGGTAGCGCTTAACCACCTTGGCAGTTACTGCTTGGAATCTTTTAAAGACTTTAAGCAGAAGACTAGCAATGGTTATTTTGAAATAAATTCATAGAATGACTTGTATTGGCTGACTTCCTAACTAAAGGATTGTTAATGTGATATTTATATGCACTTAAGCTGTCTGAGATTACAGGATCTGGCCTTGCTCCGTATTGTATACTTACCTGAAATTGCTTGGCAAAAAGACCAGAAGTGTTACTTGAGTGATTAAGGTTAACTTATGTCCTCATGCTAATTGAGTGGACTAATTTGCATAGTTCAGTATACAATCATTTGTATTATGGGGACTGCAGGAACTATTCTTAAATCATGTAGCTGGTGGGCAAATCCTAAAAACCTGTATGTAAAATACAGAAATTAGCTTGCTTGCATGTTGGTTATCGCTCTTTTATTATTGATGTTTGGAGATAATGCATCAAAAGTAGTATCTGAATCTGGAGTTTAATAGTTAATACTACACAGTACAAATAAACTCCCTTTAAGGTTCTTTTGTAGAAGATTTGATGAATTCGTTAGCTCGCTGTTCACTTTATTAAGCCCCAGAAGAAGTTCAAAGCATTCTGGACTCCTTGATAAGGTAGTTGCTTTGCTTATTATTTTACACTCTACCAGATAAGCTGGGAACGTGACTTCCCAGTGTAAAATACCTTGGTGTTAACGCAGGATACATCAACCTGCTTGGCACAAAGTAGGTAAACTTATTTTGGCTGTACCTTCACACGATTCCCCAACTACCAAGCATTCTGTGAGTAGCTTTAATCTTCCAAAGATCTTTCCATTCCTTGTGCTAAGCATTGGCTAATTCTAAATTCTATGCTAAATTTTTTTCTCTGCGGTTAAAAGCTTAGTGTCAGATTGCAGTATTTTAGAGTGCAGATGGTCCCTCTTGAAGTACTCACTGTAAGTGCTTGTTACTCCTTAAATGAAAAATAGCATGTTGTGAAATGCTGATACCAGGTAACACTGACTTGGAATATTAAGCGCACTAAATAGTGACTCAGCTTGTTTGGTGAATGCTGCTTATTTTCCCAGAAAAGTTTGGGGGTTGATATCATGCTACAACAACGAATTGCTATTCAGGAAATTCCGAATTGGCAGTTCCTAAACTGAGGACCAAGTATTTGGGGAGTACTTGTATTGGATACTTAGTTTAAAAATCAGCAGTACCGATGCAATTTGCTTTATTGAAGTAGTATTAAATGATGCATATGTTTTCTGGAGGGTGTTCGTGGGACACCCGCAAAAGGTGAAGGTGTCCGAGATGGGGAATTCTGAACGTAAACATTAAATTAATTTTTTTCAGTTTATTTTTCAGATTACATGTCATTCTTTATTAAAGAGATGCTGGTGCATATCCTAAAGTATGTTCTTTTGTAGTTCTGTAACTTGGAAGAGTGAAGGATGCTGATGTCCTTGTACCTTACAGAGGTTGTCTTTTGGTACCCCTGTTTTGTACGTAAGCTACTGTTGCTAGGTATCAAAAATAGCTGAGTTGCAAAACCATGAATAGTAAATATATTGAAAGATTTGGCAGTTTTCAAAACATCTGAAAGTTTGGTTAAATCTAGCTTTGTCGTAGCTGCATAAGCAGAATTTCTAAAACAAGTTCTGCTTTGAGTTGCATGTATCAAACAGGCATACAATTAACTAGCCAACTTCTTTTCAAGACCTTTTAAAGGTGGTGTCTTAAAAGCTTGCAAACATGTCAACTTTAAAATCTGATAAAGTTGCTAAATGTGGGAGGTGAGAAAGTTACGTTCCTTTGATCTGTTCCTATGAGGTTTTGGACTTTTTTCATAAAATCAGATTTACATAATTGAATCTTTAAAAACATTTAGAAAAGTGCTTCATTGGTCAGACCTGTTTTTGGATGGTCTGCATCACATAACACATTTTTGTACTGGACTTGGAGGACATTGGCTGTTGCAATTTAGCTTGCTTTATCAAAATTGAGCCCATTTTGACACTTGGATCTCTAAAAACTGCAGCATGTAGAAGCTGGTATCGTTATATATATCTTCACGCTTTCTCAGAAATGAATACAGAATAATCTTCTGGTGTAGACACATTACACTAATCATTTATACAGCTGATGAGAAACTGAAACTGCTTTTGAGATTTTGTGGTATTTTTGTGGTAGAAAAATTCTTGGCTTCTCCTTGGCAACCATTTACTGTGGCAGCAAGTTTTTGCTGGAGTTTGAGACTGCAATTTACACTTTAAAACTAGTGGCCTGCTACATAACTGCACTTAGCCAGCATTTCTGCAGTTCATAACTGTGAGGAACGTAGTACCACAAATGGCAATGGACATTAGGACCCGGATGTAGTATTCCTGCTTGCTCCAAGATTCTCATTGCCGACTGCGTACAGGTAGGTAACAAGCAATATAATATAACTTGGTGACTTTCTATGTAATCTTATACTGTGGGTATTCTGACATCACACTTCTGACTGTGGAATTACAGTGCAGCACTCTTCATACCTGTATGTTAAGCTTGCATCAAAGCTTGCGTGGTTTTCGGTTTTAAGCTTTGTCTTGTTCAGGGTCAATAAGCAACTTACTGTGATTCTTAGATGAGTATTTTCAGACCCGATTCCTTTGTATATATGACTCGGCTTGTGTGGATTTTTCTTAGTTCTGATGTAACGAAGATACTCTCAGATGAGCTCTGTGGGGAAGAGGGAATGTGATCTTACACTCAACCAGTCAACTAGGTGCTGTCAGTGCCTAGAAAAGGACTGTTTAACCTTCCTGTAGTGACAAAACGGCCCATCTGCAGCGCATCCCTCTGTAGAGTCTTGGCTCGGTAAGGCAATGCGTTAGCAATCACTGCTCTAGCCTTGTGTGCACTACGTGATAGTCACTTAAAGCTTGCTAATACAGTCAGCTTTGAGACTGATGTGGAGTGGTTTTGAAGATGTAAAATGAGTGCTCGAATTAATATCCCCGTGAGTAGTTTCATAGAGCTTATTGGACGTTTCAGTTGTCTTTATTTTAATCTTTGGTTGACAAGCATAAAACATTCCTCTGCCTTTAATTGACAGTGATGAGATTCTGTATTTCTGCCTTGTAGAGTCATCTTGGTAGTGTAATGCTCAAGTTCATTTTTCATCAGTCTTGGGGATGTAATTCTGAACTCTTCATTACTAGAAATACCGAACGTAGTGTTTCAGGATTAACATGCTTACATTTCCAGACATCCAGACATGCTGATCTCCAGCTCTTTTGCATTAGCTCTTGAACCTGAATTACGAGGTCCCTTGTTTCAGCACATGATCTAGCTCTTGTCTGATGTTCAGTTTATTTCAGAGGTGTTGTAATGTGTTTTCCTGCTTGTTCTGCAAAGTTCTGCTTTGCATACTTGTTTCTGGTATTATTGTCACATATTTGGACCCTTCTGTGTTATCTTCCAGGCAAGACTCTTGCTGGTGAACAGGGGATCTGCTGGTCAGCCTTGCCCTCTGCTGTAGCTATCTTTTTCACGTTCCATTGAAAGCTTGAAGTAGCAGCTGCTGCACCTTCAGATCATGACAACAGGTCTTTGGTTACACCTCAGCGAGTGTAGCCGAACTCTAGCTAGTCAAGCGGTGACACCACTTGTCACAAAGTCAGTTTGGCTTTTCGTGATGGCTTACTCTTACCTGTGATTAGAATTCAGTAGCAAAACTGCTGGCAGTATGCGTACTGTCACGTAGCAAAACTGAATTATTTAAACCAGTGCTCAGATCTGACTAGTTTTTCCAGTGTGCTCTGGATACTTGACCTGCAGGAATGTCATGGAGGGGTTATTGGCTCATCTGCCTCGTCCTATGTACTTGAACTAGCAGGTTTTTGACACTCTTGGAGCAAGCAATTTGTGACTGAACCATGGGTCTCATACCAGCTCTGACTGTCTGCAGTAATGAAACTTGGTGTGGTAGCTAACTTAAAAGCAAATAGTCATGTCTGCTCTAAGTCAGTCTGTAACAAGTGGGTACAAGTAATGACATTAAAGTGCTTGCATTGTGTTTCATCTTGGTTTTATCTGTGTGTGAAATACACTTTTTCTCAAAAGCTTATCTGAAGCTCAGAAGTGTGGTGTCAGAATACATATGCGTACCTGCTAGGCCCTCAGATCCAGATACTGGTGCTGTCAGGAGAGAGCACAGCATAGCGTGTATGGGGGATTTACTGTAACATTAAGCATACAAAGTGTTGATTTGCTTGCAGTTTTCCCCATAGCTAAACACTGAGGCCTGTGAGTAGTTTTAGGACTCGAGCAGTAATGGGGTTGCATGTCTCTGTTAATCATTGCCAGCTGCAGTGACATGATCAGGAAGGCCAGTGTTCTTTGTTCCATTGTGTTAAACGAGGCTAAGCATGCTGGAAAGGATGCATAAAAAGTATGCTGTTCTGGGTAATTACTTGGCTTCTTCCACTACTACTAGCAAGTTTGGAATCGGCTAATTAGCTTCAGATTTTTTTTCCCTCTCCATACCAGCTAGTGGGGCTCTTAAATAGCTGCTTACTGGAAAAGGCAAAAAGGGAGGATTGGCCTTCTCCCACCTCTGTCATTGCTGCTAGATAATGATTGACATGTTAGGACTTGGCTGTGCAATCCCGCAGTGGTCTGTGAATACCCCATCTCTATAAATGTTGCTTCTGAACACCAGTACTGAAGAGCTAACTGGGGAGGGTTGGGAGGAGCGTGGCTAGAAGTGAATCTGGAGTGTTAAAAGGATGCACAAAGATATAGTATCCCTTATGCATGGTGTTTGTTGCTATGACCTAGAAAACAAAACGTGCATACTAGACTTCTGCTATGAGGGCCATGATAAAACCCAGGTGGTGGGTTTGAGACTAAACTTGAACTTCGCCCTGCCTGGTCAGATCACGCTGACCATGGTGTGATTTGCCTCCCAACCAGAGGTGTGCACAGAACCTTGTACTACATCCCTAGCTGCTGACCAGTGCAGTTTGCCCTCAACTTAGCTACAGCAAAAGGGTGGGTCTTCAGAAGGGAAGAACCTGTTGCTGAGAATAAAAGCAGTAGGCTGACAGTGCTTAACCTCTAGTGTCTTCCTTTGGCTTTTGAAGCACTTGTAGGAGTCCAGGGCCATTGCACTCCTTCACCAGGGGGAAGAAAGGGCATTGCTACAGCAGACAAACCAGGGTAAAATAGTTGAAGTAGCTTGACAAAATTGTTAATGCCTTCACATAAGGGATAGTATACCTCTGGCTGCAATCAAAGTTCATTGTACTCAGACTGGTGATTTACGGTTTGTGCTCAGACGAGGTGCAGTTCTTCAGTCAACTACCTGCATATTCCTTCATCTCTTTACAAGTGTTTAGGCTAGCCTATTTCTGCCCCTTATTCTTCCACTTAATATTTCGGAATAATTTGTAAATTTCCCCCTCATAACTAATCAGTCCATGTATCTTAAAACCTTATTTTTAAGTTAGTTTTGAAATGGTCAGAATTTTCTGTGTATAACTATAATAACTTCAGTTGTTATCCTTTAGGTGAAGATGAAAGCTGAGTGAAACCGGAGTGCTCATCCATGGGAAGTAAGCATACCTTCCAGTCTTGTTTTGGGCGGGGTGTGAAATAATAAAGGCTTCTGGAATTTGATGTTCAGTCTCCGAGTAGCTTTGAATTGCTGAGCGTGGGGAAATGGGTACGAGTGAGCACGTGAAACAGGTAGGGTAGAACTCGGTACCCACCGTCAGGCTGTGGGGTTAAGCACCCAGGCTCCATCTGGGCTCAATAACCTTGACAGCAGTGGTTAAAAATAACTTTTCTAGATGTGGGTTTGTACAGGAGATTTCAAAATCACTGTGGGTATAACTTCTGAATATTTCTGCAGTTCAGGAGCAGAGCATGAGCACATCCAGCACGATGCCCAGTGGTATGTGGAGGGCCCAAGATAACAAGGAACAAGTAAGTAGATCATGTCCTTATGCTGCTGAAGAGCTCAGTAGCCCGTCACCCTGTGATGTATTGTGTAGTTCCTGCCTGAAATTTGTAATCTCAATTTTATATAAAACTCCTGAATCTTCCTTTTGTAGAGCCAAGATATAACCATTGTTTGAGGCTTTTCAGCCCTGCAGCATCAAATAAACTCTGTCCTCTGAATGCCATAGGTGGTCAAACAAGAAATAACCAGTTCTACATTCAGGCTTCCGTGATTGGGGTGGGTGATGGTCAGCAGGAAAAAGGAACAACAGAGCAGCTGCTTCTCAAATGTTAATCCAGCTACAAGTTGTTTAAAAGCTACTTTTCTGAAACAGTTTAATGAACATTGAACTTCCGAAATAACCTGGAATATAAATTGGCACATACGAGAGCATGAGCAGATCGTGGTTTAGGGAAATGAACTAACTTGCAGAGCTGGGATTAATGACGTTTTCCCTCTACCACTAAAACTACAAGGGGGAACTTGGAACTATCTAAAATCTTATGTGAGGAGCAACATGCAAAGTACCTTAACTGGGGAGGGATGGGTAAGTAGCAGCTTAGATGTGCCACGACGGGAGCTGTAAGACGTGAAGCCAGCGAGTTCAGTGGGTGAACTGAGTCACGTGTGACTTGTCACCGCTGCTCGTTTCTGGGGTAGTAAAACACAAAGCCCTTTCCTGTCTTTGAAACGTATGAAATAGGTGAAAGTGAATGTTATTGATTTAATCTCAAGTCTGACCTGGGAATTTCTGATTCTAGAGAACCTTTGCTGGGTGCGTGGCCTCTTGTGGCGTGCTGGTTCCCTTTCCCTGTCGTCACGTGTGATTTGTGCTGGCGTTCTTAATGTTCTTGCTAACTGTGTGCTTTGCACTTGCAGAAGAAGGTGAAGTCTGAATGCAGTGAAGAGGAGCCAGGAACATACGGTTTTTAAAAATAAAATACTTAGTTTTTTTTTTACAATGACTTCTGTTTTATTCCAGAGCGCATTCAGTGAGTAAGCAATCCGTTCAGTGTAACGTAGGGATGGATTTGAGAACCTGCCAGTAGTGAGGCTGTGGAAGGGGGTGCAGAAGGAGCCTGGAGTGTGGGAGTGGGGTGGGCCCAGGTCCTGAGCGGGAGGGATCTGCTCTGTGCTGTGATGAGCATGTGAACGTTAACCACTTGGAACCAACAAAACCCCAACAACCACGTAGTACAGGATCTCGCCCCGCTGGGGTTGTGCCGTGGGCTTCCTCACAGTTCGGGTGCCCTGGTTTTCAGGCCGGCTGTGCCTGGCCTCTGCAGCCAGAGGTGCTTTTGCTGAATGACCAGCTGAATTGGTTTTCCTAAGTTACGTTTGCACCTCAGGTAGTTTAAGTCTGGAGGTTTCACCCATTCCTTCCCCCATCTCGAGTCCTGCTACTGCTCTATTTTTAGATCAGTGAATTCTTGAATGTTTACACGTGCCTGGCTGTTTGGTTGTTTGGTTTTTTTTTTTTAGCAGTTTTCACGGTGATGGCTGGAGTAACAGCCTGAGATGTCAGAGTTAGGGCTCTCGGCGAGCCAGGCGAGTGCTAGTCTTAACCTCTTGCAGCACAAAGTGCCACAGTTCACATCGCTTGAGTCTGGACAGCTGCACTGCATACATAGTTCATTTATTAAATATATAATCCTCTGTTTAAATACCAAGCAGTTTAATGTGTTAAAATGTGCCAGCGGTAGGCTCTGCTCATCCAGCTGCGTGGTAATAAGGTTTTTCCCCTACAATGCTCTGAAGAGCCACAAACGGCATGGAACTGCCTTGATGGGCTAGAAAGATTGAAATAAATGAGATTTTAACGTGACAAAGTCCTACAAAATACCTGAGACACATCTGGGTGACCCGTGGTGCAGGATTAGTGCCTGGCTGGAACAGGGCTGGCCTGTGCTTAAATCCCAGCTGGGAATACGTTTGGCTTTGGTTGAAATGTTTTGTTTCCTGCCCTCTGGGGAAGTTCCGTTAAGGAACTGGAGTAAGGGTGCTCCTGGCTGCTGTAGCTGCGTTTCTGCTGTCGCCTCCCTGATTTTCTAGCGGAGAGAAGATGTGGAGGGAGGGGTGCGGGGGGGCTCTGCAGGGGCTGAGCAGGTTTAGGGTGGAGAAGGTTGGTGCCGCAGTCAAAGCTTCTACCCGCTGCCTCTCACTTCCCTGCAATCCAGTGCTGGGCTACGGGACAATCGGGCGTTTTGCTCTTTGATTTTGCTGCTTTTTGGGGGGATTGTCTGGATTCTGAAGAGGCTTCAGCCAGGAGAGGTTTTGTGGTTCCTCAATAGCTGCTCGGCAAGGGGCCGGGTTTTGCTGTCTTTGTCTGCACAGCTGCTGCAGGCTTAGGCAGCTTTTTTTTCCCATCAGATTCTGTTATTTTCCAGTAACTTGTCCTAATTTCCACTAGCAGCATCGGCTGCTTTCCCTGTGAAAGTGTTCCAGCCCCGATGTGACTCCACCGTTCAAGGTGCTGAACTTCACCTCCCACAACTCTCTCTAAGCAAACCCCGTTTTGCTGCTTTCCTGGAAGGGCTGTGGTCGGGAAAATGGCAAAAAGCCCCAATTTCTGCTCAGTGACTGGCACAGGTTTTCCTCTTGACAGCTGAGCACCACGCTGGGGTGTTTCTGTCCTCTGGCTGGTGAAGTTGGGCACCTGCTTCTATTAAATATTTCATTAAGTAGCTCTAATTAAAAACAATCGGAGATGGAGGGCAGGCCCCAGGCACCGTGTGTGTTGTGCCCAAGTCCTGTCCCAGCTGGGCGCCAGGGGGGGCTTTGCTGGGCCGGGCTTGGGGCTGGTTTGGGCACTGGGACCCCCTGGGGCAGGATGGGGACTGGGGGTGCTGGGGAGGGCGCAGCGCTGGACTGGGCCCTGGCTGCCTGGGGAAGGCAAACAAAGGGTTTTGCAATATTTACACAAAAATGAGGCCTGGCAGGGGCGCGGTGGGGGCAGCGCTTGCTGAGTTTTAAAGCTGAAGGAGGATGATTTCTGCGGGTGGGGGGGCCCTGGCCTCTCAAGTTTGTGACCCATTTGATCCTTTTTATGCTCCTTTTTCCCCCCAAGGGCCTTCCCCAGACGAGAAGGGCTGGAGCCTGCCCTGGCCTGTTGCTGTTTATGGTTCCTGGGCCTGCGCCGGGGCAGGGAGAAGCTCCAAATCGGCGTGAGTGGCTCCTCGGCTGCCAGGAGTAAAAATAGTCCAGCCGTAAAGCCGGGCCTGGCTGGCCGTGCCCCCCCGGTCACGCTTCCCGCCGCCCGAGAAACCGTTCCTGCTCCTTCGTGATTTAGTGGTGTTAACAAACCATTTCTCCTCGCACTGCACTAACGCTGCTGCTCTTGCCAGCCCAGGGCTGCGCGGGGGGCAGGCGGTGACACTCCTGCGCCCCCCCGCCAGGAGAGCAGCCCCGCGTTTCCAGCTCTTGACCCCGCTGCGGGCAGGGGGGGCACCGCGGCCCTCCCCAAGGCAGCAGCGCTCCCGGGGTGCTCACATGGAGCTCAGCCCCTCCATGGCACCCACAAAACCACAACTGGGGGCTTTTGTGGGGGTTCTATAGGTTTTTTTTTTTTTCACCCAGTTGGGAGGATGGTGCTAGCTTGCGGGGGGGGGTCACAGCCGCGGGGTGGGGGGTGTGTGTGAAACTGCAGGTTCAAGCACCCGCTGCCCCAGCAGCACCCC